ACTTCGATAGTTTCTAGCCATGGTTTAAGTTTTTAAAATTAAAAAAAATTCCCATACTTCGTTAGCTTTTAGCCATGGTTCAAGTTGTCAAAATTTTCAAAAAAAATTTTCCCATACTTCGATAGTTTCTAGCCATGGTTTAAGTTTTTAAAATTAAAAAAAATTCCCATACTTCGTTAGCTTTTAGCCATGGTTCTAGTTGTCAAAATTTTCAAAAAAAATTTTCCCATACTTCGATAGTTTCTAGCCATGGTTTAAGTTTTTAAAATTAAAAAAAAATTCCCATACTTCGTTAGCTTTTAGCCATGGTTCAAGTTGTCAAAATTTTCAAAAAAATTTTCCCATACTTCGATAGTTTCTAGCCATGGTTTAAGTTTTTAAAATTAAAAAAAATTTCCATACTTCGTTAGCTTTTAGCCATGGTTCAAGTTGTCAAAATTTTCAAAAAAAATTTTCCCATACTTCGATAGTTTCTAGTCATGGTTTAAGTTTTTAAAATTAAAAAAAATTTCCATACTTCGTTAGCTTTTAGCCATGGTTCAAGTTGTCAAAATTTTCAAAAAAAATTTTCCCATACTTCGATAGTTTCTAGCCATGGTTTAAGTTTTTAAAATAAAAAAAAATTTCCATTCTTCGTTAGCTTTTAGCCATGGTTGAAGTTGTCAAAATTTTCAAAAAAAATTTTCCCATACTTCGATAGTTTCTAGCCATGGTTTAAGTTTTTAAAATTAAAAAAAAATTCCCATACTTCGTTAGCTTTTAGCCATGGTTCAAGTTGTCAAAATTTTCAAAAAAAATTTTCCCATACTTCGATAGTTTCTAGCCATGGTTTAAGTTTTTAAAATTAAAAAAAATTCCCATACTTCGTTAGCTTTTAGCCATGGTTCAAGTTGTCAAAATTTTCAAAAAAAATTTTCCCATACTTCGATAGTTTCTAGCCATGGTTTAAGTTTTTAAAATTAAAAAAAAATTCCCATACTTCGTTAGCTTTTAGCCATGGTTCAAGTTGTCAAAATTTTCAAAAAAAATTTTCCCATACTTCGATAGTTTCTAGCCATGGTTTAAGTTTTTAAAATTAAAAAAAATTTCCATACTTCGTTAGCTTTTAGCCATGGTTCAAGTTGTCAAAATTTTCAAAAAAAATTTTCCCATACTTTGATATTTTCTAGCCATGGTTTAAGTTTTTAAAATAAAAAAAAATTCCCATACTTCGTTAGCTTTTAGCCATGGTTCAAGTTGTCAAAATTTTCAAAAAAAATTTTCCCATACTTCGATAGTTTCTAGCCATGGTTTAAGTTTTTAAAATTAAAAAAAAATTCCCATACTTCGTTAGCTTTTAGCCATGGTTCAAGTTGTCAAAATTTTCAAAAAAAATTTTCCCATACTTCGATAGTTTCTAGCCATGGTTTAAGTTTTTAAAATTAAAAAAAAATTCCCATACTTCGTTAGCTTTTAGCCATGGTTCAAGTTGTCAAAATTTTCAAAAAAAATTTTCCCATACTTTGATATTTTCTAGCCATGGTCGAAGTTTTTAAAATTAAAAAAAATTTCCATACTTCGTTAGCTTTTAGCCATGGTTCAAGTTGTCAAAATTTTCAAAAAAATTTTCCCATACTTCGATAGTTTCTAGCCATGGTTTAAGTTTTTAAAATTAAAAAAAAATTCCCATACTTCGTTAGCTTTTAGCCATGGTTCAAGTTGTCAAAATTTTCAAAAAAAATTTTCCCATACTTCGATAGTTTCTAGCCATGGTTTAAGATTTTAAAATTAAAAAAAATTCCCATACTTCGTTAGCTTTTAGCCATGGTTCAAGTTCTCAAAATTTTCAAAAAAAATTTTCCCATACTTCGATATTTTCTAGCCATGGTTTAAGTTTTTAAAATTAAAAAAAAATTTCCATACTTCGTTAGCTTTTAGCCATGGTTGAAGTTGTCAAAATTTTCAAAAAAAATTTTCCCATACTTCGATAGTTTCTAGCCATGGTTTAAGTTTTTAAAATTAAAAAAAAATTCCCATACTTCGTTAGCTTTTAGCCATGGTTCAAGTTGTCAAAATTTTCAAAAAAAATTTTCCCATACTTCGATAGTTTCTAGCCATGGTTTAAGTTTTTAAAATAAAAAAAAATTCCCATACTTCGTTAGCTTTTAGCCATGGTTCAAGTTGTCAAAATTTTCAAAAAAAATTTTCCCATACTTCGATATTTTCTAGCCATGGTTTAAGTTTTTAAAATTAAAAAAAAATTCCCATACTTCGTTAGCTTTTAGCCATGGTTCAAGTTGTCAAAATTTTCAAAAAAAATTTTCCCATACTTCGATAGTTTCTAGCCATGGTTTAAGATTTTAAAATTAAAAAAAATTCCCATACTTCGTTAGCTTTAGCCATGGTTCAAGTTGTCAAAATTTTCAAAAAAAATTTTCCCATACTTCGATAGCTTTTAGCCAAGTTTGAAGTTTTTAAAATTAAAAAAAAATTTTTATACTTCGTTAGCTTTTAGCCATGGTTCTAGTTGTCAAAATTTTCAAAAAGAATTTTACCATACTTCGATAGTTTCTAGCCATGGTTTAAGTTTTTAAAATTAAAAAAAATTCCCATACTTCGTTAGCTTTTAGCCATGGTTCAAGTTGTCAAAATTTTCAAAAAAAATTTTCCCATACTTTGATATTTTCTAGCCATGGTCGAAGTTTTTAAAATAAAAAAAAATTCCCATACTTCGTTAGCTTATAGCCATGGTTCAAGTTGTCAAAATTTTCAAAAAAAATTTTCCCATACTTCGATAGCTTTTAGCCAAGTTTGAAGTTTTTAAAATTAAAAAAAAATTTTTATACTTCGTTAGCTTTTAGCCATGGTTCTAGTTGTCAAAATTTTCAAAAAGAATTTTACCATACTTCGATAGTTTCTAGCCATGGTTTAAGTTTTTAAAATTAAAAAAAATTCCCATACTTCGTTAGCTTTTAGCCATGGTTCAAGTTGTCAAAATTTTCAAAAAAAATTTTCCCATACTTTGATATTTTCTAGCCATGGTCGAAGTTTTTAAAATAAAAAAAAATTCCCATACTTCGTTAGCTTTTAGCCATGGTTCAAGTTGTCAAAATTTTCAAAAAAAATTTTCCCATACTTCGATAGCTTTCTAGCCAAGGTTTGAAGATTTTTAAAATTAAAAAAAAATTCCCATACTTCGTTAGCTTTTAGCCATGGTTCAAGTTGCTCAAAAAAAATTTTCCCATATTTCGATAGTTTCTAGCCATGGTTTAAGTTTTTAAAATTAAAAAAAATTCCCATACTTCGTTAGCTTTTAGCCATGGTTCAAGTTGTCAAAATTTTCAAAAAGAATTTTACCATACTTCGATAGTTTCTAGCCATGGTTTAAGTTTTTAAAATTAAAAAAAAATTCCCATACTTCGTTAGCTTTTAGCCATGGTTCAAGTTGTCAAAATTTTCAAAAAAAATTTTCCCATACTTCGATAGTTTCTAGCCATGGTTTAAGATTTTAAAATTAAAAAAAATTCCCATACTTCGTTAGCTTTTAGCCATGGTTCAAGTTCTCAAAATTTTCAAAAAAAATTTTCCCATACTTCGATATTTTCTAGCCATGGTTTAAGTTTTTAAAATAAAAAAAAAATTTCCATTCTTCGTTAGCTTTTAGCCATGGTTGAAGTTGTCAAAATTTTCAAAAAAAATTTTCCTATACTTCAATAGTTTCTAGCCATGGTTTAAGTTTTTAAAATTAAAAAAAAATTCCCATACTTCGTTAGCTTTTAGCCATGGTTCTAGTTGTCAAAATTTTCAAAAAGAATTTTACCATACTTCGATGGTTTCTAGCCATGGTTTAAGTTTTTAAAATTAAAAAAAAATTCCCATACTTCGTTAGCTTTTAGCCATGGTTCAAGTTGTCAAAATTTTCAAAAAAAATTTTCCCATACTTTGATATTTTCTAGCCATGGTCGAAGTTTTTAAAATAAAAAAAAATTCCCATACTTCGTTAGCTTTTAGCCAAGGTTCAAGTTGTCAAAATTTTCAAAAAAAATTTTCCCATACTTCGATAGTTTCTAGCCATGGTTTAAGTTTTTAAAATTAAAAAAAAATTCCCATACTTCGTTAGCTTTTAGCCATGGTTCAAGTTGTCAAAATTTTCAAAAAAAATTTTCCCATACTTCGATAGTTTCTAGCCATGGTTTAAGATTTTAAAATTAAAAAAAATTCCCATACTTCGTTAGCTTTTAGCCATGGTTCAAGTTCTCAAAATTTTCAAAAAAAAATTTTCCCATACTTCGATATTTTCTAGCCATGGTTTAAGTTTTTAAAATAAAAAAAAAATTTCCATTCTTCGTTAGCTTTTAGCCATGGTTGAAGTTGTCAAAATTTTCAAAAAAAATTTTCCTATACTTCAATAGTTTCTAGCCATGGTTTAAGTTTTTAAAATTAAAAAAAAATTCCCATACTTCGTTAGCTTTTAGCCATGGTTCAAGTTGTCAAAATTTTCAAAAAAAATTTTCCCATACTTCGATAGTTTCTAGCCATGGTTTAAGTTTTTAAAATTAAAAAAAAATTCCCATACTTCGTTAGCTTTTAGCCATGGTTCAAGTTGTCAAAATTTTCAAAAAAAATTTTCCCATACTTCGATAGTTTCTAGCCATGGTTTAAGTTTTTAAAATTAAAAAAAAATTCCCATACTTCGTTAGCTTTTAGCCATGGTTCAAGTTGTCAAAATTTTCAAAAAAAATTTTCCCATACTTCGATAGTTTCTAGCCATGGTTTAAGATTTTAAAATTAAAAAAAATTCCCATACTTCGTTAGCTTTTAGCCATGGTTCAAGTTCTCAAAATTTTCAAAAAAAATTTTCCCATACTTTGATATTTTCTAGCCATGGTTTAAGTTTTTAAAATTAAAAAAAAATTTCCATACTTCGTTAGCTTTTAGCCATGGTTCAAGTTGTCAAAATTTTCAAAAAAAATTTTCCCATACTTCGATAGTTTCTAGCCATAATTTAAGTCTTTAAAATTAAATAAAAATTCCCATACTTCGTTAGCTTTTAGCCATGGTTCAAGTTGTCAAAATTTTCAAAAAAAATTTTCCCATACTTCGATAGCTTTTAGCCAAGTTTGAAGTTTTTAAAATTAAAAAAAAATTTTTATACTTCGTTAGCTTTTAGCCATGGTTCTAGTTGTCAAAATTTTCAAAAAGAATTTTACCATACTTCGATAGTTTCTAGCCATGGTTTAAATTTTTAAAATTAAAAAAAATTCCCATACTTCGTTAGCTTTTAGCCATGGTTCAAGTTGTCAAAATTTTCAAAAAAAATTTTCCCATACTTTGATAATTTCTAGCCATGGTCGAAGTTTTTAAAATAAAAAAAAATTCCCATACTTCGTTAGCTTATAGCCATGGTTCAAGTTGTCAAAATTTTCAAAAAAAATTTTCCCATACTTCGATAGCTTTTAGCCAAGTTTGAAATTTTTAAAATTAAAAAAAAATTCCCATACTTCGTTAGCTTTTAGCCATGGTTCAAGTTGTCAAAATTTTCCCATATTTCGATAGTTTCTAGCCATGGTTTAAGTTTTTAAAATTAAAAAAAATTCCCATACTTCGTTAGCTTTTAGCCATGGTTCTAGTTGTCAAAATTTTCAAAAAGAATTTTACCATACTTCGATAGTTTCTAGCCATGGTTTAAGTTTTTAAAATTAAAAAAAAATTCCCATACTTCGTTAGCTTTTAGCCATGGTTCAAGTTGTCAAAATTTTCAAAAAAAATTTTCCCATACTTCGATAGTTTCTAGCCATGGTTTAAGATTTTAAAATTAAAAAAAATTCCCATACTTCGTTAGCTTTTAGCCATGGTTCAAGTTCTCAAAATTTTCAAAAAAAAATTTTCCCATACTTCGATATTTTCTAGCCATGGTTTAAGTTTTTAAAATAAAAAAAAAATTTCCATTCTTCGTTAGCTTTTAGCCATGGTTGAAGTTGTCAAAATTTTCAAAAAAAATTTTCCTATACTTCAATAGTTTCTAGTCATGGTTTAAGTTTTTAAAATTAAAAAAAATTCCCATACTTCGTTAGCTTTTAGCCATGGTTCAAGTTGTCAAAATTTTCAAAAAAAATTTTCCCATACTTCGATAGTTTCTAGCCATGGTTTAAGTTTTTAAAATTAAAAAAAAATTCCCATACTTCGTTAGCTTTTAGCCATGGTTCAAGTTGTCAAAATTTTCAAAAAAAATTTTCCCATACTTCGATAGTTTCTAGCCATGGTTTAAGTTTTTAAAATTAAAAAAAAATTCCCATACTTCGTTAGCTTTTAGCCATGGTTCAAGTTGTCAAAATTTTCAAAAAAAATTTTCCCATAATTCGATAGTTTCTAGCCATGGTTTAAGATTTTAAAATTAAAAAAAATTCCCATACTTCGTTAGCTTTTAGCCATGGTTCAAGTTCTCAAAATTTTCAAAAAAAATTTTCCCATACTTTGATATTTTCTAGCCATGGTTTAAGTTTTTAAAATAAAAAAAAAATTTCCATACTTAGTTAGCTTTTAGCCATGGTTCAAATTGTCAAAATTTTCAAAAAAAATTTTCCCATACTTCGATAGTTTCTAGCCATAATTTAAGTCTTTAAAATTAAATAAAAATTCCCATACTTCTTTAGCTTTTAGCCATGGTTCAAGTTGTCAAAATTTTCAAAAAAAATTTTCCCATACTTCGATAGCTTTTAGCCAAGTTTGAAGTTTTTAAAATTAAAAAAAAATTTTTATACTTCGTTAGCTTTTAGCCATGGTTCTAGTTGTCAAAATTTTCAAAAAGAATTTTACCATACATCGATAGTTTCTAGCCATGGTTTAAATTTTTAAAATTAAAAAAAATTCCCATACTTCGTTAGCTTTTAGCCATGGTTCAAGTTGTCAAAATTTTCAAAAAAAATTTTCCCATACTTTGATAATTTCTAGCCATGGTCGAAGTTTTTAAAATAAAAAAAAATTCCCATACTTCGTTAGCTTATAGCCATGGTTCAAGTTGTCAAAATTTTCAAAAAAAATTTTCCCATACTTCGATAGCTTTTAGCCAAGTTTGAAATTTTTAAAATTAAAAAAAAATTCCCATACTTCGTTAGCTTTTAGCCATGGTTCAAGTTGTCAAAATTTTCCCATATTTCGATAGTTTCTAGCCATGGTTTAAGTTTTTAAAATTAAAAAAAATTCCCATACTTCGTTAGCTTTTAGCCATGGTTCTAGTTGTCAAAATTTTCAAAAAGAATTTTACCATACTTCGATAGTTTCTAGCCATGGTTTAAGTTTTTAAAATTAAAAAAAAATTCCCATACTTCGTTAGCTTTTAGCCATGGTTCAAGTTGTCAAAATTTTCAAAAAAAATTTTCCCATACTTCGATAGTTTCTAGCCATGGTTTAAGATTTTAAAATTAAAAAAAATTCCCATACTTCGTTAGCTTTTAGCCATGATTCAAGTTCTCAAAATTTTCAAAAAAAAATTTTCCCATACTTCGATATTTTCTAGCCATGGTTTAAGTTTTTAAAATAAAAAAAAAATTTCCATTCTTCGTTAGCTTTTAGCCATGGTTGAAGTTGTCAAAATTTTCAAAAAAAATTTTCCCATACTTCGATAGTTTCTAGCCATGGTTTAAGTTTTTAAAATTAAAAAAAAATTCCCATACTTCGTTAGCTTTTAGCCATGGTTCAAGTTGTCAAAATTTTCAAAAAAAATTTTCCCATACTTCGATAGTTTCTAGCCATGGTTTAAGATTTTAAAATTAAAAAAAATTCCCATACTTCGTTAGCTTTTAGCCATGGTTCAAGTTCTCCAAATTTTCAAAAAAAAATTTTCCCATACTTCGATATTTTCTAGCCATGGTTTAAGATTTAAAATAAAAAAAAAATTTCCATTCTTCGTTAGCTTTTAGCCATGGTTGAAGTTGTCAAAATTTTCAAAAAAAATTTTCCTATACTTCAATAGTTTCTAGCCATGGTTTAAGTTTTTAAAATTAAAAAAAAATTCCCATACTTCGTTAGCTTTTAGCCATGGTTCAAGTTGTCAAAATTTTCAAAAAAAATTTTCCCATACTTTGATATTTTCCAGCCATGGTCGAAGTTTTTAAAATAAAAAAAAATTCCCATACTTCGTTAGCTTTTAGCCAAGGTTCAAGTTGTCAAAATTTTCAAAAAAAATTTTCCCATACTTCGATAGTTTCTAGCCATGGTTTAAGTTTTTAAAATTAAAAAAAAATTCCCATACTTCGTTAGCTTTTAGCCATGGTTCAAGTTGTCAAAATTTTCAAAAAAAATTTTCCCATACTTCGATAGTTTCTAGCCATGGTTTAAGATTTTAAAATTAAAAAAAATTCCCATACTTCGTTAGCTTTTAGCCATGGTTCAAGTTCTCAAAATTTTCAAAAAAAAATTTTCACATACTTCGATATTTTCTAGCCATGGTTTAAGTTTTTAAAATAAAAAAAAAATTTCCATTCTTCGTTAGCTTTTAGCCATGGTTGAAGTTGTCAAAATTTTCAAAAAAAATTTTCCTATACTTCAATAGTTTCTAGCCATGGTTTAAGTTTTTAAAATTAAAAAAAAATTCCCATACTTCGTTAGCTTTTAGCCATGGTTCAAGTTGTCAAAATTTTCAAAAAAAATTTTCCCATACTTCGATAGTTTCTAGCCATGGTTTAAGTTTTTAAAATTAAAAAAAAATTCCCATACTTCGTTAGCTTTTAGCCATGGTTCAAGTTGTCAAAATTTTCAAAAAAAATTTTCCCATACTTCGATAGTTTCTAGCCATGGTTTAAGTTTTTAAAATTAAAAAAAAATTCCCATACTTCGTTAGCTTTTAGCCATGGTTCAAGTTGTCAAAATTTTCAAAAAAAATTTTCCCATAATTCGATAGTTTCTAGCCATGGTTTAAGATTTTAAAATTAAAAAAAATTCCCATACTTCGTTAGCTTTTAGCCATGGTTCAAGTTCTCAAAATTTTCAAAAAAAATTTTCCCATACTTTGATATTTTCTAGCCATGGTTTAAGTTTTTAAAATAAAAAAAAAATTTCCATACTTCGTTAGCTTTTAGCCATGGTTCAAGTTGTCAAAATTTTCAAAAAAAATTTTCCCATACTTCGATAGTTTCTAGCCATAATTTAAGTTTTTAAAATTAAATAAAAATTCCCATACTTCTTTAGCTTTTAGCCATGGTTCAAGTTGTCAAAATTTTCAAAAAAAATTTTCCCATACTTCGATAGCTTTTAGCCAAGTTTGAAGTTTTTAAAATTAAAAAAAAATTTTTATACTTCGTTAGCTTTTAGCCATGGTTCTAGTTGTCAAAATTTTCAAAAAGAATTTTACCATACTTCGATAGTTTCTAGCCATGGTTTAAATTTTTAAAATTAAAAAAAATTCCCATACTTCGTTAGCTTTTAGCCATGGTTCAAGTTGTCAAAATTTTCAAAAAAAATTTTCCCATACTTTGATAATTTCTAGCCATGGTCGAAGTTTTTAAAATAAAAAAAAATTCCCATACTTCGTTAGCTTATAGCCATGGTTCAAGTTGTCAAAATTTTCAAAAAAAATTTTCCCATACTTCGATAGCTTTTAGCCAAGTTTGAAATTTTTAAAATTATAAAAAAATTCCCATACTTCGTTAGCTTTTAGCCATGGTTCAAGTTGTCAAAATTTTCCCATATTTCGATAGTTTCTAGCCATGGTTTAAGTTTTTAAAATTAAAA